TTGGACAGTGGAAATTGCAAGCTGGAAGCACTTTGATATCTTTTTATAGCCTTCCCCTTTTTGTAGGCATCAATTAGCTCCATTTTCAGATCCTCAGCAGCTGCTTAGAGAAGCCCATGGCTTTTTAGTGTTAGCACAAGGTTTGAAGAGTCAGATTTTTTTTTTTAATATTTTACTGCAAATGTTGTATTTACTTCTTTTCACTGTCAAATGTCATTTGGTCAAGGGTGCCCAAACATTTGCAGACATCTGTGTGTTTTTTCTCATTAATTTTGTTCCATCTCCACTTTTTCCACCTCTAAAATAATAATAATAATAATAATACTGATAATAATAATGACAGTAATAATAATAGTAATAATAATAACAACAGTCAGTGAAATTAAGATTTCTTAAATCCTCAAGTTCTTTTAAATTGTTCTACAAGTTCGTTATGTTCTTGATGCTTTAGCAATACTGTATTCAATAAAACAGCCAAAATATGCCAATAAAGCAGCTTATGGAACTGAGGTGAGTTGACAGAGAAAAGAGGGAGAGATAAGAGGGAGCGAGAGGCAGTGACACAAGAAAGAAAGACAGAGAGACAGAGAGATACAGCAGAGAGAGAGCGAGAGAGAGTCTTTTGTCTAAATCTGGCTGTTCTTTGGTGTTATTAGTGTTCTGGGAGAGATGCTGTTGACAAGAAAGTTTGTCATTTTTACTTTAAGCTTCAGAACCAACCAGGCAGCTCACGCTGTTACAGTAGTATCTTAGAAAGCATGAGAGAGAGAGAGAGAGAGAGAGAGAGAGAGAAGGAGAGAGAAGAGAACATCACAATACCATTGAAGTATGTATGTATTACAGACTGGTGTAGACAGAGTTGTGCGCTACTGTTTTTTAATTCCCTTTTAGTTGAATGGGATTTTACATTTTACATTCAATTTACATTCTATGTTGACAAGGTCAAGTCCACACTTCTGGTTTGTTCTTTTGATTTCGACGTATAAATGACTTTTACATTTATACACTTGGCAGACTCTCGTATCCAGACTTGTCCAGTATTTTGGCAGCAGCAGTGTCCTAAAATTCGAAACCATTGTTTTTAATGAAGGTGCGAACATCAGTGGCAAGCACTGTTAAATTTCTCAGAGCATCACATCCACTCAGCATTTTGCCATTACTAGGCCCCCTTAAAATCCCAGACTTATTATATACTCAGGCTATTCATTCAGTGACTACGGGGACTTAAATGCAAACTAGTTGAGCTATTCCGAGGTTATAGAAGTGTGTAATAAAACTTTGGGCCTTGGCCATTTAAGGGGTTAAATTAAAGCCGTATTATGACTACAGAGGGCCTTAGTACAGCATATGTGGCTTAAGAGTTACACACAAAAAGGCAGTCAGTCTTTTAGATCAATGGACAAATGCCAAAGGTTTGCTATCTCTGCTAATATTATCAGCCTAGCCTTTTTTCAACATCCTATCTTTCAGCTTGTAAACAGTGAGTTTGTGAACAGGTTTTAAACTGATTTAATCTTTATAAATGATGTTGAAAGTTTTATTTCAATAAATTTGTATGAGTGTTAATGAGCTTAAACTTGATGTTTATCAGTGCTTTCACTACATGCATTATACAGCAGTGCTGTCCTACATGATGCTGTACGACACCGCAGCCTTTAGGTGTCTTGCCCAAGGACATGGTGTAGCATGGTGTGCTTTCCCAGGTTGAGAATCAAACCCTAGTCTCCCCAGCCTGCAGCAGTATTATTACACTACACCAACCACCAGATAGGGGAAAGATGTTTTTTCTTTCCACAAAACAAGTGGAAAGAAAAACTCAAATCATGATAAAATATCTCTTCTTCTACTTACAAACACAGATGTGGCACAGACTAAATGTTTAGAAAGATTAATCATTTTTATATCACAATCGCAATTTGAAAGAGTGCAATTTTTATTATATAATACATTATATAATACGTTATCAACAGTGTTGTCTTAACAAGTTTTAAATTGAAAGAAATTAAACTAATAGAGCTTGTAAACATAGAGCTTGTAAGATGCCTGTAGATGAGTTAGACCAATCAGAAGTAACAAAACACCCATGTGATGTATAAGTGACATCACATCCATCACAACTAACTTGTAGTCTGATGCACTCAGCGTTCAAGCTTCATGCCACAAAAAGTGGATATTGGTGCTCTTGGAACAAAACCTCATTTGTCCAAAATGGTAACTTTACAGGAGAAGCAAAAAACACTTTTAATGCAAGTCAATGGAACCAGAGTTCCCATTTCTTTTGGTCCATTCATTGTGAAATTTAAACACATTGTAAAGGGCCACAGGCATTTTCAAATTGTGTCAAAACTGAAAAACAACAGAAATGGATATATAGGGTTTTGTTCCAACAGCAGCGATATTCTGGTTCTTCTTGGGCAAAAAAAAACAGCCTGGAAATTAATTTAAAGAAAATTACTGCATTTAAATCATAATCGCAGTACTGGTCAGAAAAATCACAATTAGATATTTTCCCCAGCCTTATTTAGAACCTTTACTTCAATAAAATTCCCCCACTTTTTTCAGTGAGCTACTAGTCGGAAATAATAAGACTTACTTCATATATTGGTTATTGCTGGTGATTGCAGTGACTTCTGAGTTCATGTGGCTGAACTTTTGGTCCTTCAGGGCCTTCATGAGCTCATAAAGCCTGACAAGAATGTGCCAATCTCCTGGTGAGAAGGTATAGTGCTGCTGACATCAGTCAGTAACCCCACTTTCATCACACACACACACTCTGAGCACGCACTTTCCCAGCTCTTCTTTAATTAGAATGTCTCTCAAAAACAGTGACAAGAAAGAATAGAGCATGTCACTACAAGAACAATATCATTCTGGGCTCTGTACGTTCTTCAGCTCTGCTAGACAGACACTCGTTTGTTGAGAAGGCTCAAATATTTGCGCTGTAATTTGGTAAGATGGATCTCAAAGAGGTTATTTCTGTTCTTCCAGAGGTGTCTGGGAGACTTTTTAGCTCTTTGGAGAACGTTCATCTTTTATTCCTCTCTCTCCGTCTTTTCTCTCTCTCTGCTCTAATGAACTGTTGAGTTTGATTGTGAAAGTTCAAACCAAATAGCAAAACTTTCCCTGTGTCAGGCATTTGAAGAAAGTTTGAAGAACTTTAACACAAGTTTCAGGAGTGGGCCTTGTATAGGCAGTGATTTATTTAAAGCCCCAATCAGGATTTCTGGTATGTGGCAGACCATCAAACAACAGAGGCTTTCAAACAGCAGCAGTGCTAGCAAACACTCGGAAAGGAAGCAAAAAAGTCCATATCTGAGGAATTTTAAAGTGATAGTTTACAAGGTTTTCTCCTTGTCTCAAATCTAGTTGATCAGTGACGACATGTTTGGTGTGAAGTTTGATTCTTTAGTTTTGCGCTGGAGCTGTGAGGCTAATGTTGCTAACAAGTATTAGAAACTGCACAGTGCAAACCAGGAGACTATAAGCTTTCATAACTTGTTAGCTACAGTAATGTTGTAGCTCCAGTGCAAAACTAAAGAAGCCAACCAGACACTGAACTTGTCTTGGCTGGCCAATGACATTTGCGGTAAGGGTTAAATTGTAAAAATTTGGCTGACCCATCGCTTTAAGACCACTATAAGTGCAATCAAAAAATTTTAATCATATAAAATAAAAGAAAAAATAATCAGTGGAACATCCATGAATAAAAGGATAGGAGCAACAATTTCCCGGAAACATATCTTACTTCTTTTTTCATATTCTATATTCTATATTTTTGTATTCTGTTTGTTCTATGCAGAACTGTATTTTTTATTTCATTTATGTTTGAAATAAAAATCACTGAAAGAAACAGAAGCCATTAAAGAGATTAAAAAGTTTCATGAAATGTCCGTAATATACATCGATGTGAGACTGAACATTCTTCTGCTCATTCAGGGGTCCATGGTTGCTTTGCAATAATACCACATTCAAAAGGAATTACATTTCTTGACAGAATACTTGTTTGTGTCGGTTATTATTACTAATAATTTAAATTATTTTCTGAAAAATTGTTTATTTTATCATATTTTATGTAGACTGCCTTTATATAAAAGCAATAAGCCATAAGAGGCTGTGCATTACTGCGACTTTTCACGGGAAAGAAGGTTTAAGACACCCTGCTTCACATCAACACACGGCCTCTTGTGGCTTATTGCTTTTATAAAATGCAAGCGCTAGCAAGATAAGTTTACCATTACTGGTTAATCAGTGTCAGACTAGCTACCACAAAACTAGCTAACTACCAAGAAGCTACTTCACAAAACTACCTAATAACTAGCTAATTTGCAAATTTAGCTAAGTACTTACTCACTAATTTACAAAATTAGCTAAGGAAATACAAAGTAACTCACAAAACACGGTAAGTTTTATCCAGGTAATTCGCAAAAAGAACTTGCTAATTCACAAAACTAGCCAGCTACTAGCTAAATTCACAAAACATGCTTAGTTCTATCTAGTCAATTGCAAAACTAGTTAACTACTAACTTGCTAATTCAAACCTACTGACTAGGTAATGTAGTTAGCTAACTATGAACTAGCTAACTCAAACCGACTGACTACTATTTTATTCACAAAACTAGCTAGCTAACTAACTAATTCATAAAACTAGCTAACACAAAACATTTTACTTGTCTATTTGCATTTTCTCTTGAGAATTAATGTATATATAAGTAGAGTTTGAAGATTGAGACACTGTCAGCAGTTAAACAGTAGTATAGCTTGTGCTAAGAATGTTCAATACTATATTACATGTCGTTCTGATACAGCTGAGGAAACATGTTTTAGTGTTTACTGTAAAAATGACTTACTACATATACGCTTTAAGAACCCCCTGCTCTTGTGCCTTTGCTTCCTTAATAAGGAGGGCTTTAAAGTCTTAACTGGGGGGGATCAGACTCCACTGAACCCTCCATAATTCACACGCTAACTCCCTCTCTCTCTCTCCCTCTCTCTCTCCACAGGTCTGATTGAAGCGGACACTTTTGTAACTGTGCGCAGAGTAATGCACCCCACCATCCGTGAGCCACTGTCAGGCTCTGCCCTCCTCCCCTGCGTCCACACCCTGCAGCTGGACCCATCCCAGCATACCGGGACATCCCGTGTCCGCTGGACGCTCCTGCGTGATGGAGTGGAGACTCCAGTTCTTTGGGCCGTGGATGGGGTGGTCCGGGTGCACCATGCATTTGCAGGCCGGGTCGGCCTGCCTGGATTCTCCCGGGACGTCCAGAACGCCTCCCTGTCCCTCTCACAGCTCCGCACCAATGACTCCGGAACCTATCGCTGCCACCTTTCTCTGGGGGACACTTACGAGCAGGACACCGTGCCTCTGGAGGTTACAGGTGAGACAGAGCAGTGAACCAGACCAGGGGACATGTTCCTTCAGCAGGTGCTGCATAAAACCTAAAAGAAAATATACAGAAACACTGGAGGCCAAATGTATTAAGCCCTTTGCACCAGGTTTTCTTTGCAAATAGGATACATTCTGTAGGCGTGTTATATATGAAACTTGCATACGAACCTAAATGTGCAGTTCATGCATAAAAATTGTGTTTCTCTTGTTTAAATTTAGAAATCAAAGTCATGACGAATCTAAATCTTTTAGCTTCACTTTGAAATAAATCAAAAAGATCTTTAAAAAAGTGTTAGCATTATTTTTTACAAGTTGAAATTTAGAGGTTAGAGTTCAGGGCAGCCACTTCCCAATAGAATGTACCCTGTAAATGATAATTACTGTCTTAATTAGGGGTGGGCAATATTACGATACTTTATTGTTATCATGATAAATTATGTCACAAAACACTTCTCTGATCATATTGTGGATATCATCAGTGCTTAAAGAACACCAACTAACTACATGTTTCTTTTCAGCGTGAACATAATCAGGCCTGTTTAATTGGATTTACTGCAGTGCAGTTTGTAAAATATATGTAGTTGTAGGTTTATTATTAACGTTACTGTTAGTGTTATTATATGTGGCACTACGGGTTCTATTTTATCTGTTCCAACTTATTAAGTCTCAAAAAAAAAAAAAAATGCTGCTTATCACGTATCATGAAAATGTATCGTGATGTAATTTTTTTGCCATATCGCCCACCCCTAATCTCAATGATTGCCTCATTTAAATAGATTAATTATTTTTTCTTACTGCAGTTTGAACTGATTTGGTAGAATGATCCATATATTCATTTTCTGTGCTTAAACTAGTCAACAAAATGGGTTTAATGACTTTAGTTACAAGTCTTTTTTTTAAAGATGATTCCTAATTCATTTGCCAGAGACTGAAATTGCTGCTTCACTAGATGACAGCTTCGCTCGGCTCAACTCGGCTCTGTTTGTGCAGTGTATCATGGGCCCAGCAGTTGTGCTTAGTATCTCCCTTTTAAACCTCATTATCTAACCTCACATTAATTTTAAGACACACTGTGAGTGTATTGTGGCCACACTAAGACATATTTTGTGCTGCACCTTCTCACATACATCTGGCCCCATGTTTAAAACTGTCATGATGTCATTGGTACAGGTCAGTTTCACTGTCCTATAGGCTACTATCCCACATTATAGCAATTATTACACACAATGATGGTCATTTCAGTGGACCCAGTCTAATGTAATTGAAATATGACCTGTTGCTTTTCCTGTCCTTGCTAAGAACTTTGACGGGTGCTAACTAGCTAACCCCACATTGTGGGCGATTCATTTTAAAAAGCTCCAAACTTCAGAGGAAAAGGAGTCAGTGAGCAGCCCCGAGCTCAAAGGTCTGCTTTAATTTGTGGTGTCACAACGTTCCAGAGAGGTGCTCTTTCATTAACGATTCCGCAAAAGCTGCGGTGAATTAATTACCCACTAATTACATCGATTCATTCCGTCGATATAATATCTACTCCCTCCTAACTTTAGCCTAGCTTTATTTTCATTTTGGTTTGAGGCTCTCATTAATTGGTTAATTGCCCATAACTCTTTAATTAGGGACTTGGGATTGATTACCTATGACAGTGGGGGCTGTGTGAAGTCTGCTGTGAAGTTCATTAGTAAAATATGCAAAGTTTTAACAGAGGAGATTGCCTCAAATTGTTCATGAATCCCTTCAGATGAATTTTCAATGACTTCCAGCAGTGTTCACGATATTACATGAAGAAATATATTGTGTAGTGTCGCTTCATTCTGCAGCTTATCTTCTGTATAGTGAGTATATTAAGAGGTCATGTACAGAGTTTTTGTTATAAGCCCTTAAACCACAGTGGCTTATTATGAAAAATAAACTTTACTGACTTATTATTTAGTTGTAATACCAACGTCTAACCTCTTAACATTCCAGGTTTGTTTCATACAAAGGCTTATTATTCAGTAACTACAGGGACTTCAGTGCAAACTAATGCACTAACTCTTCTTAGGTAGTAGAAGTGTGTAATTAACTTCAGGCCCGCATGGCTTGTTAAGGGGTTGATATTTAATATCTCCTAAGGGGTTCTTTAAGAGTTCTTCAGTAACTGTAATATATAGAACTGTGACAATTCAAAGAACTGTACCAGTCTCCCATTGCACACCTTTTACTTGCAGATCGTTAGTGTATTTTCTGTTTTATGTTCATAGTATGGTATATATAGTATATACTATACTATATAGTATATCTTTTTCTAAGGTTATTTTATTGGATTAAATGCTGACAGCTGCACCAAGAGAAATTCCCAGTACTTGGCAAATACATTCTGATTCAGATTCTGATTCAAAAATATTATAATTCATCAGTGATCTTTGCATGGTTATATTGGACCTCTCTGTGACAGAAAACATGTTATATATGGTTCTATAAAGAGCCCTTTAAACATGGTTCTATATTGCACTGAAAGCAGTTCCACTGTTTTGGAAACTCCTCTTTTTGCATTCATATACCTTTGACTTCCCCCTTCCTTGTGCAATTGGATTATCTAATCTCATCAGAAATATATCCTAGCAATGAATAACCTGTACTAAATGGATAAAAAATGAATATAAGACAGATGGTCTCTGACTTCTACACAGTACTGTATAGCACAGTATATAGCTGTGTGTGTTATTAGTATATATATCAGTCCTTTTTAATTCTCCTTCGTGCTTTTAGGGGTTGTTTTTCATTATCGTGTGGCTGCTGAGCGCTACTCTCTCTCCTTTGCGGATGCTGGGCGAGCATGTGAGCAGAACTCGGCTCAGATGGCCTCTCCAGAGCAGCTGTGGTCCGCTTTCCATTCAGGCCTGGACAGCTGCTCAGCTGGCTGGCTCAACGACCGGACCGTCAGGTTAGCCATGCTTACATACACTTAACTGCCAGGTATATCCACCTTATAATGGAAAAGCATTGACCTGATATTTGTGTATGTGAACAACTAGAATCTCATGCCAAACAACAATAAATAAATTTAAAAAATACATATAATAAATGAAAATAACTACATTTCATTTAAAGGTTAAAAGCGATGCCATCTCATGATATGCATCAGAAAAAAAACTCCACACCCTTCAGTGCTCCAGGCCTTCCATCACACATTCATACATTGCCCATGACACTATAGCCATTGTCATGCTATGATCGATTCGTCTTATCCATTTACATGACATTTGCAAAATTAGTGCCGCAAGAGTATATCAGCAGTCAAACCATTCAGAACTGTTAATTAACAACAATGCAATCCCTGAGCATCCAACAGTGGCCATAGACATAGCCTCTTTCTCTTCTGAGCTCAGCCAGCCGTTCAGGATCAAAGCAATTATTTATTAATGGCACTGAAGCTAGCACTGTGCCATTTGCATAATGATATCTGGATTGGGCGGTTTTTGGTGTCAGGGGGATGCTGGGGGGATTTCACACCTTGTTCCCTTCTTCACAGGTACCCCATCCAGAAGCCAGAGCTTGGTTGCTACGGACACAAAGAGTACTCACGTGGCGTAAGGAATTATGGGAAGCGAGACCCATCTGAGCTGTTTGATGTGTACTGTTTCGCCAGTGACATGCAAGGTGAGATCTAACCCAAACTACCGTGTTTAACCTCTAGGACTGAGTTACATCAGTTTTGCATAAGTTTGTGCTTAAGATTGTGTGTCTTTATTAAACTAACACTAGTTAATTTCAAACTATCCTTTTACCAAATTCGGTTGCATTACATTATACTTCTAACATGACAATGTTCAGAACCAGTCAATAGGACAAATCAGTGCCACGTCAGCAAAGAGCTTATCTCTGGCTGGATAATGCAGGTAGCATACAACAGGATTTTGTACTAATCCTGAGAGTTATTTAACCAAGATATTAGAAAACAGAGAGCTTTTTTAACCCCTTAAAATCCAAGGCTTATTATATACTAAGGCTTAATATTCAGTAACTACAGGGATTTTAACTGGTGAAGTTATTCTTAGGTTATAGAGGTGTGTAATAAAACTTTGGGCCCGCCAGTGGGCTCTGGCCATTTACTGGTTTGAACTGATATTCCCAGGCAGTGCTTAATGTAGAAGCATTCATTTAAAAGGGAATTTTCCCACTGCACATTTAAAACCAAGGAATGAACCTAATGGGAACCAAATGAACATACGGTACTAGTTCTAGTTCATTTTTCACCTCCTCAAGAGAACCGTTATAATAACCACAGTTAACAAACAATTTAGTGGTCATATTGGTCATTTTATCCCATAAAAATGTATGTTATTTTAAACTTAAAAAAGTTACCTCTTTAAATTGAAATTTTGAGTTTTTTAAGTTTAAAAGCTGCATAAATTCTTACAGTGTGTGATGGTAAAGTGTGTAATTTGGCTAATTAGCTATTTTGCTTGCTAGTTAGCTTAACTTATTGGCTGAAGTGAATCAGTCCCTCACTGTTCTGTACACACACGCACATTGTGCTGGTGACCAGCCTATGAACTTCTATTGCAAACAATAAACATTAAAACAGTAAAAGTATAATCCATTTTTTAGGTAGGTACCAGCATAGACCAGCTTGGCTGGTCACCAGAAAAAACAATGTACGTTGTGCTTTGAATGCTGAAATGCTGGTCACCAGCAATGGAAGTTGATATGCTGATCTCCAGCAAAACCAGCATACATTATGTTTTGATGCTGGTATGCTGGTCAACCAGAATGACCTTGCTGAGGTGATCAGTTAAATGAGAACCAGACCAGCACTAGACCAGCACTAGACCAGCACAAACCAGCCTAGACCAGAATAGACCAGCTTAGGCCAACTGTAAAAGTGTTCTTTTCAGCAGGGACATTTGACAGCCTTAAATAAAACAACATTTTAGTGTTATTGCCAATGCTTTGTCTGTTACATTTGTATTTATTGTAAATTGTGCCGTGAATTGAGCTGCTGTAATGCTGGCTGGATGCCAGGTATCCCCAGGTACAGCCAATCCTTAAAGTTTGAAAACACTCTGATCTGGTCTATAAACACGACAGAGGCTTGCACTGACTTTTTGCATTCAGTGGACAAGAAGCCAGTATAGATGAGAACAATGTGTGCAGGTTTACATGTTTAGGTTTTTCCAGTTGAACCCAATAAAACATACATAAACATACAAAAATGGCTTGTTTGTTTATTCTTTAATTTTCTTACAACAGTTAAATGTGCAGCTTATTTAAACAGCGTTTTCTGACCAACTGTCAGCACAACAGGAACATCAGTGTAGAAGTTTCAGCAGCTGCTGGGTCTCACTGAACTAGAGCAATGGATAGCTTCATATTTGGAGATAAAACTAAGGTTATAATAAGGTAGTGTTTTTAGCTTAGTTATCTTAATCAAAAAGTCAGGTCATGTTTTTGGTCTTGTTTGTGCTGTCTGTGATTTCTATTGGTTTCTCCAACACTTACACCTGCTTGGTTCTATAGTTTGTAGATACTAAGCTCAGTGTTAAAACTATTTTGTGTAATCCAACTCAACATAGCCTTCTTCTTCTTCTAGCCTTAAAGGAATTCTCCAGTGTTTTTCAAACTAATCTCTGCCTGCTGCATCTGTAGCATATGGTCAGTTATAACAGTGTGTAATTTCAACAAGATTCCCTGTTAAAGAACAGAAAACTTATTGAATTAAAACAGACTGAATTGAAACCCAGTGAGCAGGTGCTGAAGCATCCTCCCATTGACATCTGCTTAGACAGTGTTTTTTTCTGTTATTTTCTAAGTACAGGGAAATCATTATCTGCAGTAAACGATAGTTTGCTACAGGTGGGGCAGGGCGACATTAGTTTGAAAAATTCTGGAGTATTCCTTTGAGGAAGCTCAAGAAGAAACACTTCAGTTCTTTCCCCAATGTCACCTCCCCGAAGATTTATGAAAGACGAAACAAAAAAGGGGATCGTTGAATAAACAAGGCTTTGTGTATCAAGGAAGCAAGCAACTTTCTGCATCAGTATTGATCTTGACAAACATCTTCTCATATTTATTCATGATGCTCATATATTGCCCCTTTTTGCACTCCTGTCCTGCCGTAAAAACGCATCATGATGCATCGATCTGAAGGTGGTGAATGAACTGCTTTCATTTTGGAATGTCGATTGTAATCAAATGTAATAATATTCAATAAAGTGTGCTTTCGTTTTTTGGCCAATATAATTCTCAGGCAATTTTCAAGCGTAAAAATGACCCTAAAACTTTGTATATATTTTCTATTGCCTATATTCTACTACAGTGTAATAGCAGAACACAAGTAGGAAAGGCTGTCCACTCAACACAACGCCACCCGAGCAGTTATGGCTCTTTATACAAGACCAGACTGCTATCTCTTTGAATGAGGGCAGACCTATGAACCCTGAACTAATAGCCAAATTAACATTTCAAAAACATATCACATCCCTGGTAAAATCACTGGTTAAATCGGATAAAAACAGCATAAATAGTTTGTAACATTTGGCTCAAATTACACGCAAAAACAAGTTTTTTCAGCTTGTTCTATCTGCTACACCTGCACTCATCTTCACAATGAAGGGGAGCTTTTCCCACTTGCGGCTTAACCAGGGAGCCAGTTGGCACTTTTTGTTGAAGGGACACCATGTTGAGCATTATGGGCAATCCCATTCATTTTCCACCTAGTGAACTGTCTCCTCCTCCTTTATAATATCTCTGGTAATAGACAATGTTGGGGTAGTTCTATATAGGTTCTAAATAGAACCATCCACAGCACGTTTTCCATCAATCTGAAGAAGATTTTCATGATGCAAAGAACCCTTTAATCAGGCAATGGGTTGTTTAAGTGTTCATGGTTCTACATAGAGCCATTTTCTTTACTAAAGAACCGTTCAATAATCATAATTTTTAAGTGTGTAGGTTTTATATTGAGGTGTATATTTAATACGGTTTCAGGCTGTTTACTTCATATACATGCTTAAGACTGGTTTCACCTATCAGTACTATGTTCCACCATTCCGTTCAACCAGAACTATCCATTTTATAATTTACATTTTGAAGCATTTTGATGGACTAACATACAACGATTAAACATAAACTAATGACATAGTAAAATTTGATGCATTGATTTTTTGACCAAAATAATATTCTTGGTGTATTTTTAAACAACCCCCCATAAAAATGCTTGGCATATTGATCTTATTGTCTGTATTCCACTGCTGTGTAAATTGTTGTTTATTTGTAATGAATTATAATTATAATTATAATTTGATGTGCCAAAATAAAATTATTGGACTGTTTTTGTGCTGAAGTGCAAATTCCTAATTTGAGATTACATGATACATTTAATCATTTCCTGATGACTCTGAATGGAATCATTGTAAAGTCTGAGATTTATGCCTCTATGATACAGCGTCTTTTAAAGCCTCTCCTCTTTTTCTCCAGGTGAGGTGTTCCCCTCAGCTCCAGGGAAGCTGACCCTGCCCGAGGCCGCCGCACACTGTGCATCGCTGAGCAGCCAGCTGGCTTCTGTAGGGCAGCTCTACTTAGCCTGGAGGTCTGGCTTGGACCACTGTGATCCGGGCTGGCTGGCAGACGGGAGTGTGAGGTACCCAGTCATAAGCTCACGACCTGAGTGTGGAAGTGGAGATCCAGGGGTCCACACGCTCTCGCCCTCTGAGCTTGGCAATGGGACCACCCTGTTTGGTGCATATTGCTTTAAAGGTATGTATAAAAAAGTCTACCAGTTTTGCAAAATTTGACCAATGTGTTTTTACCCCATGTGTATGTCAAATTTGCAGTCATCAGACTTTGCCTTCAAAGATTGAAGCATGAAGTCTAGTGAATTGGGGCAAACTATAGCCTTAAAGTGGTAAGAAAAACAACTTTACACAACATTCCCCTAATTCTTAAAATATTACTTTAGTGGTTTCCAACATCTTCTCTGTCTGCTGTATCTGTATCAAATGGGCTATTGACATATTAGGAATGCAGGATATACTGGATTCATATCGGTATTGACAGATAATTGCTTAAAAGATAATATCAGCATCGTACAGATGATTCAATTTGAGATTATTTAACAACTAAGCATAATTTTAGGCAAATATCTAATGATTAAGGGGTATGGTTAGCACAGCGCTAAATGGTATACATCAGCTTCCATTACTCGTTAGCTACACTAGCATTTTACCTCGGAAAAAGGACTTATGACTCCAAACATGTCTTGTCTCATCACCTATATTTGCAGTGAGGGGAAATGTGTACATTTGTTGGGGTTTTTGGTTTGTTTTTTTCTCCCGAGATTGATGTGTATTGTTTTAGTGCTGTAGCGCAACTGGCCATCAGACACTCTTTGTATGGATGGCACTCAGTGCCTTTTTGCATGAGATTTGGGAGCACATCAGTTTAGGAGAGTGTCAGAGTAAATAAAGAGGAAGAGGACTCTTGGGTACATTTGAGTCCCTTCTAAAACAGTTTCACCTGATAAATTGCCAGCCAAGAAACCACATGGGGTTTTCACCAACATTATGAAGTCCCTCCAGAGACCACTGAAGTATATAATGGAGGACACATCAGCCAGCCCGGAGGAGAATACTGAAGCTGCCTCCAGCACACACACTCCCAGTGGTAACACCTCTTTTTTAAAACTATTTATTTACTCTTTTCTCAGTTTCTTCATAGCCATTTCCCAATAGTGAGTTGGGAAGTGAGTCTCTTCCCAAAAGCCTGCTGCAGTGTGTAGGCCTAGATACCTGAATGCATCTACATGGTTTGAGGATTTGTGTACGCTGTTTGTGGTTCTTACTGAGTCCTTCTTTTTGATTAGCGCACAGTGGGGAACATTTCAGGGCCTAAGGCCTAATGATTTCTAGGAACTAAAAAAAATGGTCAGGAGCTGGACTGAATTTCTTACACATCTGATTAAACACCATTATAATTAGAGACTGACAATTGTAACCAATTTTTTGGTAAAATATCACTCCAGGCCTTCTGTAAGTCCTAGATATATCAGTGACTGCAAATATGAGTGGTGGCTTAACCATTAGTTTTCTGTTAGAAGAAAAATAACGGCACCTGTTCTGTGTCAGCGTTCTTTACTGAAAGAGTCACTGTACAACTGAGGTCCACATGGTAAGATAGACAGTCGTATGTTTTTGAAGTGAAAATAAGTTAAAGTTTTATCTTAAGATAAAACACTTAAATATGGCATTTGCTTACATTTTCTTTGTGTTATTTGAGTTTAACGTATTGGGAAAAAAACATAAATTATAACATTTATCATAACTTTGTGCATATACCACATTTTATGTTATATTTTTAGTACGTTAAATTCAGCAAATAAACAGTAATTGGGCATTAAAATGTGCAGAACTGTGTTTCTTGTTAAGGATGTGTTAACTTATTTTCAAACGTTTGCAAATGAATGTTAATCCCTTAAATGGCCAGGGCCCACAGGCAAGCCCAAAGTTTTATTACACACTTCTGTAACTTAAGAACAACTCAATCAGTTTGCATTGAAGTCCCTGTTGTTACTGAATACTAAGACATAGTATGTAATAAGCCTGAGATTTTAATGGGTTAATGTCTGTTAAAAGCTTCACATAAACACATGGAACGTCTTTTAAAAGCTCAAAATGTTTGTGTTTAAGCAACAACTGTCAGAAATTGTTCATGTGCATGCTAGCTCAGTGTTAACACTGAAAATCCCATAGCAGTGCTAGTGGAAATGAATGTTATCATTTTACTGGTGTTTCTGACCGTGTTTTGCCTTGATTCTGATTTGGCTCAGATAGTCACGGTTTGCCTTGGGGTAAGAGATCTTATAGAAATTAGAAAATCTTTTTAATTGTTGCCTTGTCATTATACCAATAATGTTAAAAACAGTGGGCTTGCATTGCCATAATCTGGGCTTGAGAGGCTTCATGTCCATAACATGTAAGATGCATGTTGGCTTCTAGAAACACTTTGGACATCTTCCAGATTTCAAATATTTTAATGTTTGATGTTCAGTGTTCTTTTAATTGCATTTCGTGTTATATTTCATGTCTTTGTGTGAGCACTGTCCAAAACATAACATGTGTGAGAATGTACCTGGACAATTCTGATTCTAATGTTTGGTGTAATACCAGTCATACCCAAACCATTGTCATGATTTAAGATGCAGAGAATACAAGTAAATGCTTCCTTGAGTGCCTCCATCCGAAAAAAAGGTGAAAACTCTTTTCCCAGAGGATATGACAGAATATTGTCAGTTAGAGCAGGACTGATAGCCTATAAGCTGGGGTAATTGCTACAGAAATCTTTATAGACACAGGAACGTGCAGTCCTTAAAATGTTACTGACATGACAGATATGGATAAGACTAAAATAACAGAGTTGATGTGGTAATAATTACATTACTGAACCTTCCAGTGTAAACTGATCCTATTCAAATAGTACAGGCAGTTATTGGCTCTCCTTGTTTGTTCACAGCTACTGATAATCCAAAGGCAAATGCCAATGAAAAGAGCAAAGGCTAAAACCAAGAATACACATTCACAGCTTTGTCATGTTTGCTCAGTCAGTGCAACTCACAATTATCTAATCAATTACAGCCACAGTTCAGCCAACTGTCTCAAATTAATATGCTCATGGGTAGGGGTGGGAATCTCTAGGCACCTCACGATTCGATTCGATTACGATTCAGGGGGCTGCGATGCGATTCTAAAACGATGATCGATGCATCTCGATGCATCTTTTTTTCTATACAGGATTTCTATTTTCTCACTGTGTGAGCTCAAGTTTCGAGTTCAAGTTTCAAGTTTATTTGTCATTTGCACAACATGTCAGGACATTTATGCATTGAAATGCTTGTGGTGAGGCTCAGATAATCACTCTACAGAAAGTAAAAATAAAAATACAAGAAAAACCAACTGAAATATATTAAATATACACAAAATATACACAGAATATAGAGACAATATACATTGACTCGGTGTTATTGTTATTTAAAGTCACTTGGTACTTTTAAAGCAAAGTATTTGTAATGATCCATAATGAATTTACTTCCAATACCTTTTATTAATAAAACAAATGAAAGTGATGTGGCAAGTCAACTAGAAGGCTCTCATTCACCCCTCTTGTTTGGAGCATGAGAAGCTGCTGCTACTCATCTGTGATAAAATGCGCAGTTACGGTGAAATAAGATCCAGTGGCAATAGATGACCACGCAGCACGTTACAGCTATTCTACCCGTTTTCTTTAGTGATTTTATAACTTCAGTTTTGGTCTCGGGGGGTACGGGGGGAATCGCTGTGTCAGTAAAATATCTTTGGAGACGGGACGTGTGCAACATAGCGCGAAAGCCCTGTTTCTCAACGACTGAGAACCGGCAGGCAGACTGCAGGTCACATAGCAGCAATGCGTTATTCGCATTCATAAGCAGCGCAATTGGTTTCCTGGTATGTTAGATCTGCAACGAGAGACTGTCAAACACTAAATAGTTGCGAAGGCTTTAGTCAGCTTCTCTTTCGAATTCTCCCGTTCCACCTTAAATGGTCCCGCATTTACATTCGGCGCCTCAGTTAGAATTTAAGGTGGAACGGGTAAATTCGAACAAGAAGTGACTTCAGCATCGTAAAACAGTTGAACATTGAGAGACTTTTAACAAGAAACTGATCTACTTCTGAGGATTTTTTTCTGGCGGAGATGGAAGAAAAGCAGCTATAGCTAAAACTTAAAGCAGAGCGAAGTAAATCTGTGTTTTCGTTTATATTGTTTAGCCTCTACTAGAACATCAGCACACACTGAGACATACTGGATATTAAATGTTGCGGCTCCCAAGGTGGTTTGATTTTTGTTGAAAGGACAAAATGGCTCTTCTGAACATTTGGGTTGTGACTCCTGATCTGACCTGGCTTTTAATGCAGAGGGAGCCGGTCAGATTTCTCGCTCATCCAGTAGTGTTTTTGTTATGTGCTGCCACAGACTGTCCGGGTCGCTGCACTTACCCACGTCCAAGTTCCGCCTTTTGCGTTTCGTCAACATTACGTTATAAATTAAATATTTAGAAAATCGATTTTTGACATTTGTGAATCGATTCAGAATCGTTCACGTCTGCATCGCGATGCATCTAAGAATTGTAGTTTTCCTGCACCCCTACTCATAGGTAACCTGCAAAGAAAAAATGCTGAAATTCAAAACACTTCTCCTAAAATATCTGTAACTAAACTTTGCCTGATGTTTATCTTTAGTCAAAAGAGCTTGAGTAAACTTCAAGAATAATGATTTTGCAGCTATATCCCAATTCTTATTATGCAAGCCTCAATTCCAAAAACACTGGGACAGTATGTAAACTGACAATGAAAACAGAAAACAGTAAACATTCTGTTTAACCTGTATTAAATTGACAACAGGACAAAATGATATTAGGTGTTTTACCCTATGAACTTTATTATTTTTTGTTACAAAAAGGTTGGGAAAGGAGCATGTTTACCGCTGTGTTGCATCACTTTTCCTTTTAACAGCACTTAATAGCCATGTGGGGACTGAAGACACCAATTGAAATAGTTTTGAAAGCTGATTTTTTGCCATTCTTCCACTATACAGGTCTTCCGCTGTGCAACCACACAGGGCCTATTTTGCACTTAATAATGCGCTACTCATTTTCAATAGCAGACAGGCCTTGACTGCTGGCCGGCCAGTCTAGCATCCGCATTCTCTGATTACGCAGCCATGCTGTTGTAACACATGGAGAATGTGGCTTAGCGTTGTCGTGTTGAAATCAGCAAAGGCACTATCTAGGCAGCATGTGTTTCTCCAAAATCTTTTAGTGTTCATGGTGCCTTCACAGATGTTCAAGTTAACAATGCCATGGGCACTAATACAACCCCATACCATGACAGACCCTGCCTTTTGAACTTTACACTGGTAACAATCTGCATGGTCCTTTTTTTATCTTTGAGAACAAAATCTCTATTATTTCCATATACAATCTGAAAGGTGGACTCGTCAGACCAAAACACATTTCCACTGTGCATGAATCCATTTCAGATGAGTTCCAGCCCTTAGAAGTCCGTGGTGTTTCAGGACGTTGTTAATATGTGGCATCCGCTGTGCATAGTAGTCTTAACATAACTTAAATTTGTGGATGCATTGTTGTTTATCAGTCAGCATCTTCTGATATTCTGCTCTATACAGAGTGAAGTACCTAAAATTCTAGCAATCTAGATGAATATTGTTATTCTGTTTTTACTGGTTTTACTGATGCATTTTTTGGCAAAGTGGTGAGTCGTGATCCAGCTTTGTAATAAAGGATTGGTCCTTTGCTGAATGTTCCTTTTATAATTAAATAAGACATCTTCAAAGAATAAATGCTGCTAATGATTGTACATTTGTTTTTTCCATCTTTGTCTGTTTTTCTGTACTAATTATTTGGTGTCCTGTGCTTAAGTGCTAGTGTATAGTGCACTGAATAGTGTACTGTCTGTATTAATTGTATGTATTGACTTTTTTTTCACTTAAAAATAAAGGTTTGCAGATGAAAGGAATATGCAGTTCTAGGAAAATGTTTACTTGGTATAAAACATTTTCATTATATGTAGGTTCTGTAAACTTTAAAGGTTCTTAATACTCACACCATATGATATTTACAAAATGGTTCTTTATAAAAGTGGCTCTCAAACAAGTCCTTAGGGCCTCCCCAGAGAGTCCACATGTTGTGAGCTGGGATCGAGTGAAAAAATGTGGATTTTAAAGTGATTTAAAAACCAATCAATTCTTTAAGGAATTTCAGGTGTTTCTTTTATGGTAGTACTATAAATAATCCTTTCAGACACCTTTATTTTTGGGAGTGCTGTACTATTGTCACCATTGACTTGTCCACTGTGGTTTCATGTTAAATGTAGCAACGTGTTTCCAGAGGAACTGTGTTTTTTCCACATTCAAAATTATACCGTGATAAGCAAGAAAGACCAAACAATTTTGATTCAACTTGATATGAAATTTTCTTTTTTCATTCTAGAAACACAAGGTTCCAGTTCATCCTCTCCACAACCTGCCCACCAACCATCTAACTGGACCGGTCAGGTGGATCTGGACAAGGAACCTGCTATTGCAGCGGAATTCCCAGAGTCTTCTGATGAGTATGTGACTGTTCATCTCCAAGTGGGGGACACTTCATTGGACTGGAGTGGCCAGGTGGACTCACTCCAGGACAGTCAGCAGGATGGTTCTTCTCCTGGTTCCGGCGTCACCCTAGAGAGTCAGGGTGGATCAGCAAAGGAGGAAGACGAGGATGACGAAGGTCTTTCTGGTCAACCTGTCACCATGGCCACTCCCACCGCCACGCCCACAGCTACACCCACCACTACCGCACAGATAAAGGCAAGAAGTCCTATCAAGAACATCATGAGCTCACTGTGGAAACCCTGGAACTATCTGACAGGAGGTGAAGGGGAAGAGCAAGGGATCACACAGAATCCAGTTACCACGGTGACGACTGGGACAAATCCTACAGTTTCTGAGATTTCTTATGCTACAAAGTCTACTGCTTCTCCAACATCAGGTAACTTGACAAGTCAAGTGATTACTGGTAGGCATTATGGCAAACATAGAACACCACAACCCAAAACTTTTCTACAATACACAATATTCATCATGATATTTGAAGTCTGTGAAAGCAGAAACTGATACCCTGACAGAGTTAAGTGTGTTTTCTACCCATTTCCAAGGCCAAACACAAATAAAAAGCTTGTTAAAAAAATTGCTACGTAGATGCGCATCTTTGTTATCATTAGATTACTTTAAATACTCTTTTACTAAACTAGCTTTAAATAAGGCATGTCAAAGCAAATGTATGTGTCCATGCATCAAGTCGTTAAAGGTAAGATAAAAATGGTCCATACACATTTTCATTCCCGCTGTGTCACTATGCTTTAGCTTAGGATGCTTAAAGTTTGCTTTAAGTTTGCTGGTGTTGTGTTTCCCCTGCTTTGCTATGAAACATACATCTCAGCAGTCTAATTTTAACTCACTTACATTCCCTGAACAGCTTATTCAATATAATCACAACATTACAAAGCATTTGAAAATATCTGTAATTCCTAATGCTAAATTATTATCGTGTCACTCTGTAATTTTAAACTTAAGTAGTGGTATAACTGGATGACCTTGAATACTTGTTTCTATCAAGAATACACTGGCTGTTAAAAGGCTCTTATAATAAGCCTAATCTGTGTTTTATGATCTATGCAGTTGTTGTGTTCTAGAAGTACTGATGATGCCCATAATATACTCAAAAATGCACATTGTGATGTAACTCATCAGAATAATGACAGCATATTATCATATTTCCAAGTGATATCTCCATATATGGACAGAGGTTTTGTTGTATCCTAGGTTGTATCTAGGCATATTTTGTCCCATCAGTGATGTTTTGACAGATGGCCCTCGAAATCTAATCATGCCTATCTCTAATCTAGTGCTCCATCTCCATAAGCACGTCCTAGTCGAGGACTCAGGCTTTGCTCTCTGCACTTGTTCTCCTCCCTGCTGTCTTTTCTCTCCTGTCCCTCTCTTTTCTTTTTTCTTCAAGCAGCCTTTATGGACCATTTCAAAGGACTGCACTTGAAGTGGGATTTCTTTTTCTTTTTCTTCTGTTCCCACTGCCTTTGTTTTTCATTCTGAATGAGGAATGAAGTTGACATAGAGTGGCTCTCATCTTTTATGTGGACAGAACCCGACGGGCCTTGTATGCAGCAGGGACGGCATTAGATAGAGGACGTTGTTGAGGTTCGGTCAAGAGTAAAGGGACATGCGAGGCTGGTGCGAGGTTTAGAGTGTGTAAGCAAGTGGCTAGCCTGGCATAAGGATGTATAAATAGCCAACAGGTGGAGTTTAGGGAAGAGCAGTGACGGTGTTTGACAAAACCTAGCCGAGAGCTCAAATGTTGAGACTAACTATTATACAAAAAGGAGAAAGGAGATACAGTAGAGATAAAGAGAGACGAGAGCTCAGTTGCAGATAAACATCTTGGCAAATCTGAGCACAGTGCGTGACTCTATTGAGATCTCCACTAAAACTCAAGAGGAGGCCGGTGTGAGATAACTGGGCTCTTTTGCTCAAGAGAAATATCTGAGCAACGGGAGAAAAAAGCAGTAAAAATCACCTTTGTCTGTTCATCTGATCTCATTGCTGTTTAGAAGACATACATGGGAGCATATGGTGTTCTATGATAGACAATATGATGTCACATCTCATCTATGCCTTGGCCTCCATTCCAAATGCTACATCTCACTGCATGTCAGCTGAGTAGCACAGAAAATCTTCTTCTATTTGTTATGTGAGCTAGCTTTGTTTTTAGGTTTGCTAATATAACTGATTAAGGCTGGCTGTCAAGTATGCTGGCTAGCTTTATGTTCAGGTTTATTAAACTGGTTATCATTAAAAATATACACTAGCTGCCCTGTATGCTATCTAACTTTGCAAAAATAACTGTTAACATTAACAACGCTGGCTTTCAGGCATGCTGGCTAACTTGGTTGGTTAAAACTTTCTACCATGTATGCTAGCTAGCTTCATTTGTAGTTTTGCTAACAGTTAACACTAACAGTATACACTGAGTGTCAAAGTGCTAACTAGGCTTGTTTTTATCGCTGCAAATATAACTCTTCAAGAATGGCTGTCAGGTATGCTAGCTAGCTTCATTGTTAGTTTTGCTAATGGTTAACACTAACAGTATAAACTGAGTGTCAAAGTGATAACTAGCCTTGTTTTTAACTTTGCAAATATTACTCTTCAAGAATGCTGGCTAGCTTTTAAGGTTATATAGTTATAGCTAACATAACTATTTAATATTATTATATATTAAATGTGAGGTAACACAACAGAAGTAGAAGGCCGGTTTGATGGCAGTTCACCATTAGCTTAAATTGTTTTATATTTTAGCACCAGTATTCAGTTTTTTTTATTATTTTTATTATTTAAAAACTGTGTCAAGGGATGACTTTTTTCTCCACATTTTTAAGATTTTACTGTCTGCTGCCATCACTGTAGAAAAGTGCCCTGGGAAGTCTGATAAGCTTTAGCTATACCAATTAAATTAGCTATTAGCTTTATTTGGTATTTGGTTCATATTATTCAGCTATGTCACAATGCTAGAGTATTTTCATAATCACGCTCTGCCAGACACAAACACTGCCTTTGGGGCAGAGGTTCTCAAATCTCTCCCGTGGATCCTTAACAGGTAATTTTTTATCAATGACTGCTAGTTATTTGATCAATTGAAGATAACACTTATCATTCTTTTCCAATGACTAGTAGTTAACTGAGCAATTTGAACAACCAGTTGTCAGATTTGCTTTCATACCCTATTTGTCTTTGCACTTGAGGACTGTGTCCCAATTGGTAATGTGTTCTTGTACTTACACTTCAACTGTGTGCTTGTTACTTATGTAGCATTTTATCCATTTCGTAAGAGAATGTTTTCAAAGAGGGATCTTGGAAAAGCTGCTTTAGAAACAGCCGCAGGAGCCACAGTGATAACACATACTGATCCCAACCAATTTATGACCTCCTAATGCTTTTTATGACTTAATTATCCCAAATGTGCCCAATTAATCCTACTAATTCTAGAATTAGTCATTTTGCAATACTGTTTATTTGTAATAACATAATTAGATAATTAATTGCATAGTTTGTTACATAATGAATTATTTACATTAGTTTTAGGTTCTGTATAAATTCTGTTTTATGTCTTAACTTATTTTTTTGTTATGCTTTTGTAATTGCCTGCAACAATTGTGATTTCTAAGGGTTCATATTTACATTTATAGATGTAAATATATGACTAACAAATGGAATTAGTTAACGATGGTCCTGAGCAAGAATAAACCTCAATCCTTTATTCATCTTTATACATTTTCATAAATATAAATTCACACTCATCAGTTTGTACATAGCAGCTGTGTTAATATAGGCACATGTGATGGCTAGTGCTGATTTTGTGTCACCTGGCACGACAAGTTGGAGTCCTAACAGAATCGCATATGAAGGATTGCCTGTCTGTGCTGGAAGGATTTTTGAGAGAAAAGAATTTGTTAGATAAATCTCAGTTTGCGCCCCAGGGAGAGGTAACGGAGGCGGGGCATGCGGCCCGGGCCAGCCTGGCCTAATGTAATGGATGTTGTCCTGTCAGCACTGCTGCTTCAAATTACCCCCAAAGCTCAAGCTCGCTGTTCTAGAGCAGAATGGCCAAAGCCTGTGCTCGCTCCCAGCCTGCTCCACTTCATTCAGATCCAGGCCAGAAGCCATAAAACAAACAGACCTGAACCCTCGCTGTGAACTGTAAAAATGATGGGTTCAGCCTTCCTAAAATATTGAAGGCGAAAGCTTGTATAGAGCTTTTTGCATTGGTTTTTATATTGCATCAGAGCCACAAGGTAATTACATTGTTAGTAAACACTTCAGACACCTGGTTCCTATCATAATAACTGTAAACAATTCTAACTTGCCAAATGTCTCTACTATAGAGCATTTAACACCAAAACACTCTGAAATTAAGTTTCAGATTTTGTTGTTATTTTGTTGCTTGTTTTTATTTGGTTCTTTAAGTACTGGTATCAGTGATACTGCCAGTGATATATTTTAGTACTTCAGGTACTAGTATCACTGGCAAATCTAAATACAGTATATTTACAAAAGTATTGGGACACCTACACATTACACCCACAGGAGCTTTTATGACATGCCATTCTAAATCCATCAGCGTTAATATGGAGTTGGTCCCCCTTTGCAACTATAACAGCTGGAAAGGCTTTCTACAAGATTTTGGAGTGAGTCTGTGGGAATTTTTGCCCATTCATCCAGAAGAGCATTTGTGAGGTCAGACACTGATATTGGACAAGAGGGCCTGGCTCACAATCTCCATTCTAGTTCATCCTAAAGGTGTTTGATGGGGCCACAACTTTCACATCAACTTTCACATCAAACTCACCCAACCATGCCTTTATAGACCTTGCTTTGTGCCAGTGCATGCTGTCACAGTCATGCTGGAAAAGTTGGAAGCATAGAAATGTCTTGGTATGTTGAAGCATTTAGATTTCCCTTCACTGGAACTAAGAGGTCTAGGCCAACCCCTGAAAAATAACCCCATAGCATTATCCCTCCACAACCAAACTTTACAGTTGGCACAATGCAGTCAGGCAGGTAACGTTTTCCTGGCATTCGCCAAACCCAGACTCGTCTACCAGACTGCCAGATAGAGAAGCATGATTTATCAGTCCACTTAATGCATTTCCACTGCTCGAGAGTCCAGTGGTGGCACTTTACTCCCCGCCCCCCCAAAACACACACAAACACACACACACACACACACACAAACACACACACACACCACCACCACCTGTTTGGCATTGTGCATTTTGATCTTAGGCTTGTGTGTAGCTGCTCGGCCATGAAAACCCATTTTGTGAACCTCCTGATGCGCAGTTCTTTTGCTAATGTTGCTTCCAGAGGCAATTTGGAACTCTTTAGTGAGTGATTCAGTAGAGGATAGGCACTGTGCGCTTCAGCACTTGGCGGCCCCACTTTGTGAGTTGGCGTGGTCTACCACTTCATGGATAAGCTGTAGTTGCTTCTAGGTGCCTCCATTTCACAATAATAGCACTTACAGTTCACTGTGATGAACTACATGGACTACAGACGACTCAAGTTGCAGAAGTCTGCAGACCCTCTTGCCATTTAAAGGGTTAAATCATCATATCAGTCTCTCACTTATGTGGCAGTGACTTAAAAGGGAAAACAGTGGACATGCAGCAGAGATTTGCATGGGCATGAAATGGAAGCCAAACCTGACCCGTACATAAGTTTCAGACCGGACCTGAGCAGGCCCAATTGACACTGCTAAATTTGAAACCAACATGTTGCTGAAGAGACAACGTGCTGGTCCTCCAGCAGTCATAACTCACAAGTTCTACACAGTACATCACCCATGTAGTCTTGTGATATTGTGTGCAAAGTTCCACTTTCTGATCGCCTTCAGCAGCCGTTACCAGTTCAGTACTGTGAAGGGGTGGGCATGATGGGGTGGTTTGGGGGGTGGACTGCGAGTGCTTCAACATGGCTGGTTAAGTTGTAACAACACATTACCTTCTGTGCCAGCTTAAACTGGAGAAAACATGCTTTCTAGTCTGAAGCTAGCTTTGCTCTTGCTATGGTTTAGTTGTTCTTAAAGTGGTTTGGCAGTTTTTGCTGTAAGTTTAATAATTTGTGTGTTTACAGTCTATAAATCACTTTTTATTAAAATAGCAAAATGGCTAATGCTTAACCATGTGAAGTAGCCTAGAGGCTACTGCTACTGTAACAATGTATCGTCTTTTTAATAACTATTTTTTGCTTTTAATAACTAATTTAATTACAGCACATTAATGTTTTGTGAGGGAAGCCATTCTGTGTGTGGAAGGCTACAGCTCAGCATAGGGTAAGAAAATGAATATGTTTTCAGGCATTTAAATTGCCAAACTTGATTGACAATCATGATGGATAGAAAGACCAGTGATTGACAGTGCTATTGTCTGTCGGGTCAAACCTAGACCAATGTGACTTTTTTTTCTGATGGAACAACCAGTTCATTAAGTTTCTACAATTAAGATGTCCCCTTAGTGAGTTTTCTTTTTATTAAGACTGATTGTCATGCATCCCACTGGCTCGGACATTCATAAAGACTCTGTTTCCCAAAACTCTCTGCACTACTGCACTCTTCATTATATAGTGTGTCTCTGTGTCAGCTGGAATGTTTAGAATTCTAAAACTTGATGGATGCTAATTCAGTCGATTCAGGTTCAGGCTTTGGTGCCCTCTATACCCTTATGACTTCATTACAGAACTGGTGTTGGGTGCATTGTGGAGGATGCTGAACTCTCCAAGCTCCACTTCACGTTCAGTTCGGATTCTCTCTTGACTGGTAAACATACCCTGGCCGGCCCAAACTCGACTTAGGCCATCAATGTTTAACGGCGGAGGGAAAGTTAGCCTTGTCGTCTACATTATTAAAGTCCATTTGCCAGTGATGGATGGATTCAGGTGCTGTCTCAGAGCTCCAGAGACATTCGGGCTTGTTAGCATGTATACTTGAGCTGGAAGAACAAAGATGAGAAGATGTTGTCAAAGAACTTGACCATCCAATTATCTCTAATGCAGCACATCTCGGAGTGCGGTCACTCTGCAAGTTTGCATTCAAACGTCAACATTCAGAGGGATTTCTCTGGTAAAAATAATTTGTAAAAAGGATATCCACATGGAAAATGAATATGTTACTTCAAAGCATTTTTACTTAAGGCAACAGAGCGAATCATCAATTAGTGCTCCTGTTGAGATATTGACCTGCCACTAAATTGATAGCAATTACATTTAATTAGCATGAATCTGCAGCACATGTACGCTCGCAAAAGAGAAATCTCTACTCTGTCTGTTGGCAAGGATGTCTCTCTCCCCACGTAATGCATGTTTAATTTATAAACTTGCTAATTAAAGGCACAGCGCTGCAATGATTAGTCCTAAATGGGAGTAATAATTGAATGATTCAAGTGGTTGGAATGATTGAAGTTGTTTGCTAATGTGCCCCAGTCAGACAGAACCAGTACTGGTCTGCTAGGAATAATTATTTTCTTCTCAAAATGCTCCATTGACAGCTATTATTTTATTGTTTTTGTTACAAGATATGTTCCTTTAAGCATTACTGTTTTATATCAGTTCGTTTTTCAGCAATATTTGGTTTGTACTTTTATTGAATTATTCTTGTAAGTGGATAAACACTTGCTAAATACATCTGGGCACTGTCTACATTATCTTTTGTTAACTTTTTTCACATCAGCAATTACCTTTCATTAATTGCATAAATTGTTGTGATTTTGCCATTGAATTATTTCCCTAACTGTACAACACAGGCATGTGAACATTCTCTGAATTCTATTTTTTGTGCCTATTTTGTGTTATTAGATGTTCTTTCGGTCTACATTCCCCAACATGAATTATTTTTCGCTAATTAAATTTAATTGCTTTCTTATGACTTGTGATCGTGACTGTAAAAGACAGGAATGCACACATGGATACACACACAAGCATGTGAACACATGCAGACACACAGACAAAAAGCAAACAGGCAGACCTGCCTGCAGTCTGGGATGAATAAATAAAGACGAGGGACGTGACAAGCGATTACATGATGAAACCGTCTGGCAGACATTTCTCCCCTCCGTCTCCCCAGCAACTCCTCAGAGAAACACCGTGGAGCGAACGCGGTGCACGAACGCACACAAACACGACTCCTAATTGTAAAAACAACCAAGGTCGATGACTTATTTAAGCGTTCGCTCTTTGAATTGGTGTCAGGCCTGCTTTGAACTTTCCGCAGAGGCATGAATAACGATTCGCTTTCTTTCCCACTTATTTGCTAACAAGGCCCAAATTTACTCATTGATCTTATTCAAGAGAAACAAACCATCTATTTACTTTTGATGAGTCACAGTCCCCTGACACCCACATGCACACATGCACTTTTGATCAGTCACAATCACCTGGGAACCACACTCACATGGCTCACAGGTGCACACACAGGCTGGATGTCAATGAATAAGTGTAGTCAGTCATGGCACAACTCTGTCCATGGATAGAAATAGTGCCTTATTGCTAATAGAGGAGTGGTTCCCAGTCCTGAGCCAGCACCTCTGCCCTGCATATTAGCCGTGTCTTAAAGCCAAGTATGCAGCCAAGGAAGGCTGCATTTCTCATCATTGCCATAATGTCAGTGAAGCTTGCCCAATTTGTAGGATCATTTGAATGCAGCCCGAGAAATGCGTTCTTTGTTTGTGAAAAATCAAAGGATTCAACCGGTGAATCGTTTAAGACCTTCAGTCAACCACAATCCTTCATGCACCGAGCGAAACCATTTGAAGCATAAACAGCTGCAAATTACAAACTACTGTGATGCCAGGCTTTGTAATGTTATGCAAAATTTGCATTTTTTAAAGATGTAAATGTGTCCCTTTGCTTACGTCAGTAAGCCATGACGTGTTCCTACATCCTGCTTAGACCATCTTGAATGTAAGTGATGGAGGACTGAAGCAGAGCCTTCGTATACCAGCGCTAGCAAGGTCTCTCCTACCTCATCTGCAGCCTTCATGTTGAGGCATGCCTAGTGTGTTTCCCCTGATCCAACTAATTAGCAAGTTAACATGCTCCTCCTGAGTTGAAGTGGAAAGTGGTTGGTCTAAAGCAGTGGTCACCAGCCCTGCTCCTGGAGATCTACCTTCCTGAAGACTTCAAATGCAACCCTAACTGACCCCTGATTCACCCAATTACTGCCTTCACAAGTCTTCGATTAGCGGAATAAAGCTTGTTAGATTTGAGTTGGAGGTGAAATCTGCAGGAAAGTAGATCTGCAGGAGGGTTGGTGGCCATAGGGATAAAGCATGAAAGATACCAGAAGTGAGGAGAAGTATTGTAAGTTGAAGTTTATGGAAAGGGTGAATTCCTAATGCTAATAGTATATATGGTACTGTACAGTAAGTCTATATCCTTTTTAATCCCTTTTTATAGGAGCCATAAACTGCAGTTTCCGCCTGCTTTGGAGGTCACTCTTGAACAATGCAATGTTTTCTTCAGTAACATTGATGGAAAATATTTTGAAGGAAATGTGTATAATTTACAGAACCAGATGCGAACTGGATTTTCCTTATTGTAGGTGATCAAGGAAGTCAACAAAAAGTGTTTTTGTTGTGTTTAAATGCTTTTTTTATTGTGGCAGACAATTTTTTTTAAAAAAGCTGCAGTTGTGCTATCGATTTTATCTTAACATGGCTGTCTTTGTGGAGAGCTGAATTGTTTTCATAGCAGGGGTTTCTCACTCCTCCCCTTTCACCCCTCATTGCTCACTAGCATCTCAACACAGACTCACAGCATTTCACACACAGAGAACCCACGTGTCTTAGTTAATTGATTGCACTGATTTATTTACAGGAGCTTCTATGGCTGTCTGACACTAATCACATATTGCTTGTGTCTCTGCAGGGCCAGTGTCCTGGTGGGGGCGGACATGGTTCACCAACCCTTCTTCAGCTAGTGATAAATCATCCATCCCTCCTGAACCCGAGACCGTGGCAGCCCCATCAGCAGTGCCATCAGTAATCCCATCAGAAGTTCCCTCAGCAGTTCCTTCAGAAGGTCAATCATCAACTCCAACAGCAATCCTTTCAGAAGTTCCATCAGCAACCCCATCAGTGGTACCATCAGCAGCCCCTTCAGCAGTCCCGGTAGTGGTCACTGGAGAAGGCCTTGGCTCGAGTGTGACTGTAGCCATAGGAGAATGGGCAGTTGTAACTGAGGTATTGCAGCAGGGAAGCATGACCACTGGCCTGTGGAATGAAGCTGATAGCAATCATGGGTCCTTATCAGTCCCACTGAGTGAGACACAAGAGGAGATGAGGAAAGTATCAGGGGTACCAGAGGACGACTCTGTGGAAGTCAAGGAAACAGAGGCAGAGGGCAGTTCCTGGGGAGAATTGGACCTCTCAGAAACTACCCCCAAAACCCCAGCAACAGAAACATTGACAACGGTCCCATCTAGCATTCCTACCAGTACGGAGGCCATTGTAGCAACCACTACACGAGTGGATGAAAGCACGGCTGTGGAGGCTCGTGGGGAGATCCAGTACAAACGCAAGAACAGACTCAGACGGCCAGGCCAGCGTAATCAGGAAACAACCACCACAGTGGTCATCTCCACACCGTCAACAGTGTCGGAGACAGAAGATAAAGCCCAGGCAACACCAAGCCCTCAAGTGCACACCTCAGCACCTACTTCTGTAGGAGAGACAAGAGGAGTGTCCCCAACAACTGTGGATCAGGTCCAGTTGTCAAGCTTTGGAACCTTGTTGCCTGGCAACCCAGAGAGTGGCCATGGCAATTCTGAGGTCATTTGGAGCAATGGTTCACACAGTTCTGAAGGTAAGTCTGGTCTCCCTCTCTTTCTCCCTGTCCATGCTTCCATTTGGACCTATTAGCAATGCACTACCTAGTCAATTTATCCATTCTTTAGCCCTCTTGCAAGTTCAGTGACTAAATGTTTAAGGTAGCAAGCAGACCTCAAAGAAGTCCATATCCACAAATATAGTAAATATTAAATCTTTCAATACTGGGCACCTCCACCAATACTGACAGCGCACCACCAGCACAGATTTGCTAAAGAACATCTTAGCAACATCACTATATTTGACCTACATTACATATGTGTTCTACGGTCACTTTTCAGAACATCTATTACTTGGGGGAGATCTTGGGTGCCAATAGCATTAATGAGGTTTTCACAACTAGTAGCTGTCAACTGGCACCACTTGAGCGCAGCTGGGCAAATGCATTGAAAAAAGGAAAATATCTGATCAGTCCCAGAGTAATTACTGCGGCTGAGGCAGCTCTTATGCAGCACTCTGTACAATGTAGTTTGAGCACTGAATATTATATGACGGAATATGGTGGCTCTCTAAGTGTCCATATGCAGACAAGAGCCCCTTAGTGTGCTAAATTAGCATGCGCTCAGAGCGGAGAGCTGTTAAGAACTCCACAGCACAGCCTGGTGAAGAGGGAAACTTCAGAGCAAACAAGAACACTCTTCATCAGTCCCATTAGACCCACACTAGCAGCGTTTTGGAGCTAATCGCCATCCTTCAAGCCCAAAATAGGGAATCTCTACATCTCCCAGGCTGGTTTGAGGTGCTACAACAACAAAGGACTTCAAGCACAACATGATTTGTTAAAAACTTCAAAGGCCATTAAGGCTATCAGGCTACAGTCCGTTAAGACTGCATATTCATTACTGCATGATAACTCTTGGGGTTATTGTGGTCCTGTTTTTTCTGTTTTGAATGCAAACTGACAGAGAGAAAGTTGAGCTATTATGTCTGTTTTGGAAAACTTTCTCTCTTACCTTTTTCGAATACATAAAAGAGATTGGATTTGGCTGAAATGCATCGAAGGCCACCAGGCTGTAGTATATACTCATTACAGCATGCTGACATTCTGTTAATTAGCTCATAGCTGGTTCTGAGGTTATTTTGCTGTTTTACTGATTGGGAGTCCAGACTGAAAGAGAAAAAGTTGGGCTTTTACCTTTGTTTTGATCTTGTCCTTTTTTAACCCATAAAAGAGTTAGCTAAACGTTAAATAACAGTAATGCTACCAGGCTGTAGTATATGATTATTACAGCATGCTAATTTTCAGTTAGTTAACTCCAACGTGCTTCTGGGGTTATTGTGGTCCTGTTTCTTCTGTTTCAGATGCAAATTGAAAGACAGAAAGTTGAGCTATTATCTCTATTTTGGAAAATTGTTACTCTCTTAGCTTTTTTGACTGCATTATAGAGATTGGTTTTAGGTAAATGTTAAACAGAAAAGGCCTCAAATGCAGCTAAAGCTACCAGGCTATAGTATATACTCATTACAGCATGCTAACTTTGTCAGTTCTCAGAGCTGGTTCTGGGGTTGTTGTTGTCCCATTTTACTGATTGGGAATCCAGGTTGAAAGTCTGTCTTACTGTCTCATCCGTTTTGAATCCCTGAAAGAGTGAGCTAAATGTTAAAGAGATAATACATCAAAGGCTAGTAATGCTACAAGGCTATAGTATATAAGTTACAGTATGCTAACTAAGTATGTAAGTATGTTAGTTAGCTCAGAGCTGGTTCTGGGGTTATTTTGGTCCTTTTTACTGATTGTGAATCCAGAGTGAAAGAGAAAAGGTTGGGTTATTATCTTTGTTTTGGAACCAAAGCCTCCATTCACAGTCTCACCCTTTTTTAAAGCCATACAAGAGTTTGACTTTGGCTAAATGTTAAATAGGAAATGCATCAAAGGCCAGTAATACCACTATGCTAATTACAGCATGCTAACATTTCTATTAGCTTGCTCAGAGCTGGTTCTGGGGTTACTGTGGTCCTGTCTCTCTGATTGGGAATCCAGATTAAAAGAAGGAAGACTATTACCTTCATTTTGAAACTGAACATTCATTTTAACTCTCTTTCCCTTTTTGAGTCCATAAAGAGTTGGGATTTGGCTAAATGTTTTAGTAGATCTGGTACAATGTTGTACCCTGTAACACATTTCAGCTATTGCTGCAGATGACATATGCATGAGCGCAGAGCTCCAGTAGGAGCATCAGCGCCTGTATCAGATATACACACAGCTGTGTGTGTTTTCTACTCCTTGTCCTCTCTGCCTTATCTCTTCCACTTTCATTTGGGAATGAATGATGATATGAGTACCATATCTGTATTGGCTACATAAAGCAATCACTGTATATGCTTGTAGTAATGATAGTAGTGTAGTTGATATGTAGTCAATTTTATGATGCATTAACTAATAATTAACCCCTGTACTGGAGGATACTTATACAAACCCACACAAAAACACATTTATTTTCCAATAGTTAAACTTAAGACAGGTTTCAGCAAGAATATAATAGTTATGTGTGATAATCCGCATATGAATTATGTATGCAAGTGCTCCAAAATGTGTGCAGATCTCCAAAATGATAACTTTACAGGAAAAGGAAAAAACCTACTTTACTTTTAATGTAAGTCAGTGGAACCAGACATTTTCCCAAGTCATTCTGGGCTGTTTCCTTTGGTCCATTCTTCATGAAAACAAAATGTAAAGGGAAACAGGTATGTTTCAAATTATGTCAAAAACTGAAAAACAACAAAAATGAAGATACGAGGTTTTCTTCCAAGAGCAGCGACATATATACACATATATGTATGTATATATATGTAATATATATATATATATATATATATATATATATATATATATATATATATCGAAAATCACTGCTACAGGAGACAGAAAATATGTATGTTACTTTTAATTATATTAATATAAGTAAACGTAACCAGATGTGTATTTTTTCCAAGTAATTTTGAGCTCTTTCTATTGACACAAGGTTTTGGTCCAACAGTTAGTTCCGGCCACACAAGCGCAAGCTGATTGGTTGAGAGGCGTTTTCCACAAACACAGTATCACTCCACTAAGGCGCCATTGCTAGGCAACGAGTTTATCAGCTGTAGGAGATGCTCAAGACATTTGAACGCAGAAGAAAACCTAAACAACATGGAATTAGCCAGAAATGAACCAAATACCACTTTCGCCAAACGTGTAGTCTCATCTTCAGAGTCTGACCAAATTGGACTGAGCCATAAAACTGCCGCAATAAAAAACAAAACAGCTGGCTCAGTGGTAATGACAGTTTTGGAATTTAATGTAAGGAGCTGGAGAATGAACTGCCGGCTGCCGACATAGCAACAAGCTGCTATATATATATATATATATATATATATATATTTATATATATATATATATATTATATATATATATATATATGTGTGTGTTTGTAGTATTTTGCTAAGCATGCTACAATATGTAGTTATACAATCACATTATGGTATTTTGTACATATCACTTTTCCTTCAATTCCTCTCCTCTTCAGTGCCAAAGACATTAATATCAGTGACTCTGGAAGGTTGTGCCATTATCAGTGAAGTGCTATCTGTGAGTTGTGGTAGGAGATAAACAGCTCAGCCACAAATCATCCTTTTCTATTTACTGATGATGAAATGATTAGTGCTTGGAGAGGAGTTTTGCTGGAGCCATCAGAGAAAATAGACATCAAAAGAGGGAGAGAGAGAAATCCAACATTTTCCACATGGGCAGAGAGATACAACACACACACACACTGTATCCTAGAGAGAGAGAAAGAGAGAAATTCTGCCCTCAGTGTCACAGTCATGATCAGAATCTAAAATGAGGCTTTACTGGCTGTTTGAGGGTCACACAAAGACATTCATTAAGGAAGAAAGGATTCCACCAAAGACTTCATAGTGCTGTCATCCAACTGTATCCTTCCATTTCTCCTTTCAGTCTCACTCACTCTTTGTTTCCCATCCTTTCACACATGCATATGCACACACATTCCATTTCACTACCCTTCAGTATCATACTTTCGGTCTTCTTCACTCTTGTCACTCTCAGCTCAACTCTCTACAGCTTTATTCACTTTCAGCTTGCAGAAGCCTTGGACTCCGTTTACATCTGGTGGTTCCATGCGTTTCAAGCACTTCAGAAGGTGGTCTGAGATGCATTTCATTATACAAGTGTAAACACATCTATATCCTCAAGCCAATTCAACAACAAAAAACCCTCCCAGTACTGTGATGGCGCCTCCCCCTGCAGTACTGCATGGGGGGTGTAAGGAAATGAATGACAACATGAAAAAAACATGATTTTCGAGGACGCAGGCAGGTTTTGAATAGAATAGGAAAAACGAGGAACAACACTGGCGGTTGGTTGTTGTAAATGAACAGATTGGCATATTACATACCTCACTGCAATCAGATTTCAATCAGACTGACACCAGACAAGTGTAAATGCATGTGGTTACATTTTTACCAGTTTACAATCCACATTAAACGACCAGGTGTAAACAGGGTCTAAATGTCTTCTAATGTCAAAATGTTTCTATGGTAAATTCAAAAGCTCAGCTACATCAGGTTTTCCTCCAGATATCACTGGATTCTCTGAATTATGAGGTTGTTAAAGAGTCTTTAAGAGTTTATTTGTATTTAGATTATTGCTACACGTAAATTAACACTTCTGCACGTTTAACTGACGTCACAACACTGGCATCTTCCCAAAATACCCCACACAAACCAGCAAGCCTTGCCAAATACGATGGTTACACAGCTGTGGCAGTAGTAGCTTACGTTTGAGTAGCTGGTGTTGGTTTATATACTATTGAAGTTTAATAGTAGACTTACTTTCATGCAGCATCATTTCAGTGCAGGAGTGTAAGTTTGCTTGGAGCGATGTTTGTATTTTACTATTTAACAACCTCGTAAATCTGAGGATTCAGTGACAATCAGGGGTTGCGCCATTCATTTTTCCCCAAAAAGAAGACCGTC